CTTCAATTGGTGCGGTCGGAATTCGCGCGCCCGAAACCTGCCTAGTTGGCCGCATTGTTCCTGCGCATTTGCGCGCTGCGGATGGTCCATTCGTAGGTCACGTTCCTGTGGCCTGAGGAGCGCGACCGATTATGGCGCGGGCTGCTGGGTGTTGGGTTTCCTGTTCAGGTGCTGCTGGCGCCCTCTGGTCGCGCTGCACTGTGCGCGCCGTGAAGTCTCTGTGGAGCTGATGGGGTTTTCGCTGACAGAAGTGACGCAGGGGCGGAGGCCCTGGTTAGATTGATCGCCCACGTGGCTCGTTCGGACAATGGTCCGCACAATTCGCCGATGTGTAAATGGCGTTGTGTCGAGGTGAGGGATTATGTGCTGCGGCCTAATGTTTCATCCAGCCGGCTATTAGCCGAGTTGTGGCGGATCTAAGCCGGTCATGCGTCTTGCCTGTGAAGAGGGGGGGGGGGGGAATCGGTAAGGAATGGCGAGAATGAGAGCGCGCAGTGAGAACGCTAATGGGCTTTGGCTGGGCTCTGTGATCCGTGTACGGCTTCCCAGGGCCGGTCGACAGGTTGCCTTCCGCGGCGGAATGCCTTAATCTGAAGCCCTGCGTGTAAACGTCGCTCCTGCCGAGTTACCCGTCCGGCGCCGGCGGCTCAACGCGACACCCAGGGATCCGCGCGATCGTAATCACTTCAGGTGGCTTGCAACAGTTGGCGGCACCGAAGGACTGCCCGGGCACCATCGGTGCGAGCCGTGTAGCCGCGGCGGCACGTGGCTACCGAGCCGGCCGCCACGTTCGCCTGAGACCACCCTCCCTGCTCCGGCGGTCCTCCGCCATGGCGCCAGCCAGTCAGTCACCCTCTGTGACTGTCTCGCCACGGGCCACGTCTGGGGGAATGCCTGACAGCTGGGTCGCCGTCCGCCCTGGCCGGTGGCGCCACGGCTTCCGCCCGGTCCATCGGCAGCCGTGTGTCCCGGTCTGCCGGCCGACACGTGCCGCGGCAGTCAGCTGCCCCGTCACCCGGTCGTCACCCGATCAGTCAGCTGGCCTGTCACCCGGTCAGTCAGCTAGCCTGTCACCCCGATCAGTCAGCTGGTCTGTCACCCGGTCAGTCAGCTGGCCTGTCACCCGGTCATCACCCGGTCAGTCAGCTGGCCTGTCACCCGGGCGGTCAGCTGGCCTGTCATCCGGCCAGTCAGCTGGCCTGTCACCCGGTCATCACCCGGTCAGTCAGCTGGCCTGTCACCCGGTCAGTCAGCTGGCCTGTCACCCGGACGGTCAGTTACCCTGTCACCCGATCAGTCAGCTAGCGTGTCATCCAGTCAGTCAGCTGGCCTGTCACCCGGTCATCACCCGGTCAGTCAGCTGGCCTGTCACCCGGTCATCATCCGGTCAGTCAGCTGGCCTGTCACCCGGTCATCACCCGGTCAGTCAGCTGTCCCGTCACCCGGCCATCACCCGGTCATCACCCGGCCAGTCAGCTGGCCTGTCACCTGGTCGGCCAGTCAGCTGGCCAGCTGACCTGGTCCCTGGTCCGTCCTGCCTGACTGGGCCGTCCGCAGTCCTGTACTCGAGTGAGGACACCTCCTGCCTGGTGATGCATCATCCGGAACCGGACATGCGGCGTCGAATGCTGCCATCCGTCAGCGTCTCCTTCCTGCATCAGCCAGGACGCCTGTGGCCGCGGAGAGAGGCTGGGGCTCCCAGCCGGCGATGTGGCGGCGAGTGGACAGAGGGGAGGCCGGGGTCCCTAGCCGGCGGTGTGGCGGCGAGTGGACAGAGGGATGAGGCTGGGTCCCCAGCCGGCGGTGCGGCGATGAGTGGAGGCGTGTCCGGCGGCGCCCCCGTCATAAAGCCGTCAGTCTGTGGTGCGGCAGCCGACGCGCCGGCAGCTGCCGCCGCCCCGCAGGCGTCTCCGGTGGCAGATAATGACGGCGCGGGCAGCCGATAAGGCGCGCGCGGCGCACTCAGTATCGGCCGCCGGCGCCGCCGCGGGCGTGGGAACAATTTCACGCCGGCGGCCGCGCCGACCGGGAAGCGGCCGCCGAATAGCTGGCGGTCAGCGAAACTGTGTCACGACTGGCGGCGGGGAGCGGCGCGACACGCGTTCGCTGGTCGGGCGGTGGGGACCAACGAAACGCGGCCCGCTCCGAATCGATGGGCGCCGCTGTCGATGGTGGCGTGCGTTGTCGGCAGCAGAGCGGAGTCGACAACACGCACCGAAAGTCGGCTTCGCGCGCCGCCTTTTGCTTCGGAGCAGCTCGCGAGAACTAACGGGAGGGTGGGAACGGGGAGCTCGAGGGAGCAGCTGGTTGGCGGAGGAATGCGCGCGGGCCGGGTTTAGGGAAGGGAAGGGGACGCATTGCTGCGAGATCGCGTCCCCTCCCGGCCTGTCTCGTATTTCATCCACTGCGCGGCGCCCGCTTGCACAGGGGCGGAGCGAGCGCCGACCGGAAGCGGGGCAAAAAGGATGGGAACGCCGCAGATAGATCAGCGACGCCGCTGCTTTCACACGCGGCGCACGGACGTCGCGGAGGGCGCGCATCTGCCGTCCGTCTGTTTTTGCCGCCCCGCCACCGAGCGTTTGGAGGGTATAGCCATTAGCCGTGCGCACCGTCATCCATCACCGCCTGTTTATTTGGCCGCTGCTGCGTGTTTGCAAGCGGAATTCGCCGCGAGCTGTGCGCGGCGAGTGGAGACCCGCTGGGTGGGCGAGATGAGGCCGTCACGCCGGCACGGCTCTCGGGTGTCCCGCCGGGCGCGGTGCCGGCTCCCGTCCGCGGGCACGGGCGCGGCCGGTTTCACCGGCCTGTCGTCGGTGGAAGGTCCCGCTGCCCTCTCTGCTTCGCAGCACTGCGCAGAAAGTGAAAACTGCGCGCGTTCCCACGCCCTGACCCGGGGCCGCCAGCTCGGTTTCACCCGCCGGTCAACGGGTCACGGACGCGCGCCTCCGATGCGTGCGCTGCGGCGGCTCGGCCGACCATTGCGGCTCGCCGGCCGCCACCGCGCCACAAGGCCTCACGCCGCCGGCTGTCGCCTTGCTACAGGGCCTCACGCTGCCGGCTGTCGCCGCGTTACGAGGCCTCACGCCGCAGGCCGTCACCGCGTCACGGGGCCTCACGCCGCCGGCTGTCGCCTTGCTACAGGGCCTCACGCCGCCGGCTGTCACCGCGTTACGAGGCCTCACGCCGCAGGCCGTCACCGCGTCACGGGGCCTCACGCTGCCGGCCTACACAAAGCGTGACGCTTGCTCATCTTTCGCTCATCGGTTGGATGCGTCACCTAAGCCTGAGTTTTGTCCAGAGCTGCCCGGCTGGTCGGTAGTGGCGGCGTTCACCGTCGTGTCCCTGACGCCGGGAATGTGACGAGCAGCCCACGTAAGCGATGCCAACGGTGCATCTGCGACAGCGGTCTCCACCTGGGAGCCGGTGTGCGTGTCTCCATCAGTGAGACCGTCAATGTGTCATTATGTCGTTGATCGTTCACGCACGGGCTGGCTGCGCCACTCCCATGGATAAGTGCCGTGGATGCGGCTGACGTGGCGCACGGTCGCCACACGCACTGGCGGTCTGCAGTCGTACGCCGGGGCCCAGCTCGCAAGCTGATGTATGGCCTTTGAATGGCACCGATGGATCCAGCGGAGGACGGACTGATATAAATTGATGACGGCGATACAAAGATGTTTTAAAAGACCGTCACTGAATCAAACGGCGCAAAGTGGAATCGTTGCGATTGTGAAGGCGTGGTTGGTGTTACGACCGGCCCTGCTGCTGCACCCCTGGCGGCGTACCACGGCCGCCTACAGACTTCCCCGCACTACTCCGGGCATGATCAACGGGATGAACGGCGACCGACTCCCCCCCCCCCCCCCCCCCGCCGGCGTAGACCTGCGCCGCTGCCGCTGGAGACGGGCCAGCAGGATCGGGGTCGGTCGGTTGGGCCAGCCGCTCGCCTCGGTGACACGAGGACGTCTTCGTGGCGTGCGGACGGCGCCTCTGTTGTTGTGGCACTAACTCCGCTGATGAGGTAATTGGCGGTGATGGCCGGCTGGCAGCGCTGCTCGGCGCCGGAGGACGAGGCTGACGTCAGCTCGGGATGCACTCAGCTGCGAATTAACGCGTCCGAATTCCTGCCCACGCACTGCGGCAGGACCGATGGGAATTCTGCACTCGTTCTCGGTCCAAGCCTGTGCCATTTCTGATCACGCCCGTCGACATTCGTGTGAGGACTTCGTTCCGATCGCCTGAACCATTGTTAAGTTCATGGCACAGGTGCTGCGCGAACTGCACTGCGACAGTTTATGTGAACAATCAGCTAAGCGCTCGCGGTTACTATACGTCTGCTAGCCAAGCCGGTGCCATGCCCCATCACACCACGCGAGCGCTGCGGAATTCCTGGAGCTTTCCCCCCCCCCCCCCTCCCCCTCCGCCTGGCCTTCGCAATGTCCCGTCTGCACCTCGTCTTACAACGCACACAAGCCCTCGTAAAACATCAGGTCACAGGTGGAGGGCGAGCACACTGCATAGCGCGTCTCGCAAATGGCGTCGCACGCGATCCGGGAATTCTCTCTGTGCCGAGCCGGCTCTGCGTCTCCTCGCCTCGCCGCGCCCGGCGCTGCGCTTGTTTACGATTGGCTCAGACGGCAGGCAGATCGGAATCCGCCATCAATGGAACTGTGATCGACGCTCGCCCGCCCGCGCGTCATATGCGCGCATCGAGCCGGCAGCGGCCGTCGGGCGCGGGCTCGGGCGCGCGGCCTCTGCTCTCCCGTGCCCGTCTCGGCTGCCCGGCGTCGACTCGCGGCGGGGGCGATTCGCCGCGTGACTTGACGATGAGCTCGCAGCTTTTCCGCGGCCGAAATCACGGACGGTTTCACCGGAGCGCGCCGCTTTCCGGAGCGGCGCCCTGCACCCGGCGGTGACTCGGGGTCGTGAGTCACCGAGTCGCCGCGAGTCCGCGCGCGGCGTGAGTCAGCGCCGGCCTGACCCGTCGCGCCCTGTTCCAGGAGCCTGGGCCTGGACCTGGTGCCGCGCGTGCTCGGCTCCATGCTCGACCCGGACGCCATCTCGGTGGTGACCCTGCACCAGGTGGTGAGTACCGAGCCGGCAGAGGGGCGGCAGCGGCGCCTGGTGTCGCTCTGAGCAGGGATCAGCGCCGCGCGCCCTGCCGATGGTGGCAGCATGCGCTGCGTGGTTTTGATCATCGGACGTAATGAACTCGGATTGTTTTAATACGCATCCGCTGGGTGTCACCGTGCCTAACACGTGCTGTGAAGGCCAACGTACTGGTAACTGTCACTGCGGGGGTGGAAGTGATCGTTGTGGTCTGAGTGGTAGTGATCGCTGTTGTCTGAGTGGTAGTGGACGTTGCTGTCCGAGTGGAAGTGATGCATCATGCTGTGCCGTTCAGCGATTTAGTGCACCCTTGTTCATTGAACAGGTTTGCCCCACATGAATGTGTCACGTGCCAGCAAAGCACAATGTGGCACGTTTGGCCGCGGTGGAAAGCCAGAGGTCTCACTCCTGTGTAACGTCAGGTTCGGCTTTGCCCCGCGCTTGCAGTGCTGCGTTTGTGACGCGTAGTAAATGCACAGCATGCACGCGAGCGCACCGCCCCGTGAACGCGAAATGCTCGTGAATCACAATGAATCACTGGTCACCGGCATGAACCGGTCCCGCTACTGGCTGCGCGACCCATTATGAGCGGCCACTAGTGCGGGGGACCATTGCGTCAAGTCCGGCGGCGGCTCTGTTTTGAATGGCCGGCACGCGTGGGCGCTCAGATCTGTGGGGTGATTCGCGTACCATGCCTGACTGCGCCGACCACCGCCATCACGGCCGTCCTGTTGCGATTACCGCCCGCCTCGTCCGGCTGCCGCGGCTGGACATGTGCAGCGTCGGCTGGCCGGACCGCTCGCAGGTCTGAGTCGGTCGGCGCCGTGCGTCTGCCGTGGACAGACTGTTGATGCTCGGGGTCAGGGGAGGGTGCTGTTGGGGTGTTGAGTCGGTCGGCGCCGTGCGTCTGCCGTGGACAGACTGTGATGCTCGGGGTCTGGGGAGGGTGCTGTGTTGGGGTGTTGATTCGGTCGGGCGCGTGCGTCTGCCGTGGACAGACTGTGATGCTCGGGGTCTGGGAGGGTGCTGTGTTGGGGGTGATGAGTCGTCGGGCCCGTGCGTCTGCCGTGGACAGACTGTGATGCTCGGGGTCTGGGGAGGGTGCTGTGTTGGGTGTGAGTCGGTCGGCGCCGTGCGTCTGCTGTGGACAGACTGTGATGCTCGGGGTCAGGGAGGGTGCTGTTGGGGTGTTGAGTCGGTCGGGCGCCGTGCGTCTGCTGTGGACAGACTTGATGCTCGGGGTCAGGGGAGGGTGCTGTGTTGGGGGTGTTTGAGTCGGTCGGCGCCGTGCGTCTGCCGTGGACAGACTGTGAGCTCGGGGTCAGGGGAGGGTGCGCGTTGGGGGTGTTGAGTCGGTCGGCGCGTGCGTCTGCTGTGGACAGACTGTGATGCTCGGGTCAGGGGAGGGTGCTGTGTTGGGGGATGAGTCGTCGGCGCCGTGCGTCTGCGTGGACAGACAGATGCTCGGGGTCAGGGGTGGAGGGTTGCCGTGTTGGGGGTGATGGCACCCATCGCCGGCACCCGCGACGGTATTTGGACCAGTGTCCGGAAACCGCTGAGAAGTAGTTCAGGCACGCGTGGCAGAAAGGAGACATGGGGGAGCATTGTGCGTGCGCGCGTGGGTATGTAGGCCCTAGGTGTGAACCTTGTACCTTCCCATCGCCCCTCGTTCGCGCCTGATAAATCGTTGGTGCTGTATAGTGTGCCGACTGTTGCGTGCGTGAAGTGTGTTTTCGCTACCGTAATTATGAACTCGTCCCATTTCTTTGTAGGAGGTAGGGGCTACAACCCCAAGTAGTGAGCATACGGTCAAAAGGGACTGCACTGTAGTGGTTTTTGATCAAGAGGGTTATGTTAACGCATCCCCAACCCGTTAAAGAAGCATTTATCGTGCTAGCGTACCGTAAGTACAGATGAGTTAGGTGCTTATGGTTTGCTATCAGATTCATTCGTTGGCTTATCACCTATCAACATCGTTTGTCCATCATCGCCGAAGCCTCAGTGATCGTAATTGGATTTCACAGCCGTCAGTTTGTTACGTGACGTCGCTGTGATCATGTGTGAAAGTGATCGGAAACTTTCTTCAGCGGCACTGTTCTAAAAACGCCACAAGCTGACAGAGCGTGGGTTTTCACCGACATGCTAATGAATAACCTACGGCCAAAATTTCACTTTCAACCTTCGGCGCCTGGCTCTGGCCGTTAAAACATGCGGACGCTCGGCGACCGACAGCATGCTTGCGGACGGCTTTCGATGGCGGGCCGGGCCGGCCGTGACGGCGTGGTCTAATGACGCTTATCGCCGTCTTACTGCCGGTCCGCCCTTTGTCGTCGGCCGCCGCGGATCATTTGTTTTTGCGCCAGCGTGTTTTGCTCCGTCGTTTCAAGGCTGGAGCCGCCTTCCGTCCGCGCCGCAATGGTCGCAACGGCCCGCGGCGCTCTCGTCAACGGGGCAATTACGTCCGCGGCGACCCGGGGCGCCCTGTTGTGACTCAGTGGCTTCCGAGAGGCGCGCGGAGGTCAGGGCGGCTGGGACGATGACCGCAGGCCATGAGGCCGGAACCGGCCCGGCTTTGATGCGGCGCTGACGGCTCGCTCCTTGTTTCAGCACACCCAGAGTCTGGAGACGTCGCAGGGCATGTCGGTGAGTGCGCCGACCAGCTGGCGTCGCTCGAGACGCCGAAGCGCCAGCTCTGGTGTCGCCCGGCTGGCTCGTAGGCGGCCGTGCTCGCCGGGCGGCACCGCTAGTCGTGCCGAGGCATCGGCCGGCTGCCGACCGGCCGTGATTGGGCCGTTTATCTCGGTCGGATCTGACTGAGTCAGTGGGTCGGCCGCGCCACATGACTCACGCGCCGCCACCCTTTCGTCACGCGGCACGTGCCCGGACCGCGGGATGTCGCCCACTCGTGCCGGCGTGTTGCCGACCGGCCGTGTCGCTGATGCCTGTCCGGGGCCGGGGTGGCGTCACGCACAGCCGGCGCTGCGCCACTCGTAAGCCTCGTGACGCCAGGCGGGGACGCGTCACGCTCGTGACGGCCGTGACTGTGCGGCGTCAACGGCCGGCGCCGCCTGACGGACTTCTGCGTTTCAGATACGGGGCACGCTGCGGAAGAAGGAATCCAAACAACCAGCTGCACATAACCTCTACCTGGCGCTCAGAGACTTCGGTTACGTCATAAGCGAAGATGCCGAGCTTTACTTCTCCCTGTACGACGCCAAGAAGGCCAAGTTTGTGAGGTTCGTTCAGCCAGAATGTGGGTTGACTGTAAAGTTCCGGCGGATATGCAAACTGTCTTTTGAGTGAGTCAGTTTCCGACCGCACAACAGTGATAAACTACTGCGTCGAGGATTCACCTAGGTGATACGTCACACGAGTGAACTCTTAAAGTACAAATAATATTAAGACAAGTCGATTACTGTCACGTCACACTCAGTGGGGCGCCCAAACAGCCTAGCATCGTAACCCACCGCTATGGTGAGTGAAACAGGGAGCATTGCTCGTGCGTTGAGGGAGGTGCCCGCACGGACGGTGACCACCTTCCAAGCACCGTTTTTGTCAGCTGGCCCGCGCGTCCACCGCTCCGCTCGGCTGGTTGTGCGCCGGATAGGATAAACGGCTCTGTTTTGGTTTCGAGTATTCCGCTGTTGTGCCAGCGTGGGTTAGTTCCCGTTACTTTTGCGCCTGTTGTGGTGCCCAATGCCCAATTACGGGGCGTTGCGTGGCATGTTTACCGTCGCGTGTGTTTCCGCCGCCTTCCAATTCCGGATTAGCGGCTCGTCAGTAACACTGCCGAGCGCAGTATGCGTGGTGTGCTTTGGCCGTCACTTTGCTTCATGTTTTATGCATGGCTCTGGTATTAATATTTATGCCTCCCCCGTCTTCCAGTGAACGATTTCTAGTCCAAATATCGAGAGACGGCACCTCCAGCTTCTTCAACAAGTCGACCAACAACAGCTCGACGGTGTTCACGGTGAGTTATGTCGTCAGCCGGCGCTCCGGTCCGCCCGTCTCCCGCTGGCCTGGCTGGCCGTGACACAAACACCTCTGTCACGTGACTGCGGCCTGCGCCGACGCACAGGTCACGTAACTCTGAGCGACGCTAGCGCGTGGGTCACGTGATCCGTCACTAGTGACTTTCACGCGACGAGGCAGCTCGGCGGCGCCCGTCGGCCGGCCAGGAGTCGGCGGTGCTTTCGGCGCCTCGGCATTCTGACCTCACAGGCGCCTCTCGTCGGCCGCCGAGCCACGGCAGGGCGCCCTGACCGTCTCACGGTGACAGCCCAGGCTCGGCCACGCTGCCCAGCCGTCACCGGCGCCGGCGCCGGCTGGTATGCCAGGCCCGTGCTGGAAAGCTGACGTGGGCCAGCGCGCCCGTCCGATGCCCCTACTAAGGACCTGTCTTTGACAGAGAGACTGCGGCCGTGAGGTCCTCGGAGCGCGCTCGTCGGCCCACGCCGGACCCGTTTTTTGAAAGCGGAACGAATTTTCCACGGATCCTCGGGTGTACGCCCGATGCTCCAGCCCGGTGCTCACCGTCGAAAACGAGGCAGGGATTCTTTCAGTTCCCGGGACATACACGGGACGGTCTTACCCGGCGCCTGTCCGGGGGACGGGTACGAATGCTCCGTGAGTTCGGGGCGTGTACATGCGCGGCGTTCGGCGCCTGCGCGTGCGCCGTCGGCGGCCGGCCAGAAGCGTAGCCACGCTTTTTTTCTTTTTTTACTTGGCTTTTTTGCGCAGTGATTCGGCCAGTGGAGACGACGCTAACTGCCGCCACCCCGGGCCGTGGGCAGCTAGGCCGCGAACCACCGCGCCGTCTCAGACGGGGGGCAAGCAACAGCGGCCGGAGAAGTGGCCTATCCGCCGCCGTTTGCGCTCGGTGGCAGCGATGCGCTTGATTAGGATGGCCACACTCGCCTTGTCCGGCGCGTCTATGTTTCGTGTTACACAATGACTTGGTCGGCACTAGCATGCAGGAAAGCTGCTTATCTGGACTCAAACAGGACGCGTCTAATGCGCTGCAATGGTTCGGTGAACCGTAAAAGTGCGGTTGGGAAACGAGTTGTTGCTTGATATTTCATCATCTTAAAGATTTATGTGCTTCAATTGAGTGTGCCCGCTTAAATGGTGTCCAGTTCAGTCACAGTTGGGCAATTAAACGCCTTCCGATGGCACAAATGAGACCAGTTGCCTTCACATGGTCCGATCTGTGGCCCAGTGATCTGTGATCTGTGATCTGAGCTCCGTCGATGGCGCCATGGCGCGCCGCGCCGCCGACTTTGATCCGTGTGCCGCGGCAGCCTTCACCACCGCGGTGATGACAACAATCGCTGTTGTGCGCGCTCCAGCTCTCGCCGGCCTGCCATTGACCCGTAGCCGTGCTCACGAACAATGAGCGAAAACTATGCGCGGCGCGTGAGCGGGCGGTCTGTGCTGCCCGGCCTGGGTGGGCGGCACTGAGGAGCGATCCCCGGCGGCGCGTTTGTTGCGGGGGCGCGTGCGCTGGCCGGCGCTGCGCCGCCTCGCCTGTGACCGTCCCGGCTCGCCTGCGACAGGACCTGGGCAACGTGGAGCTGTCGCCGCAGCTGTACCTGGTGCTGCACGTGCTGCGCGTGGGCCGCATGGTGCCGTCCGAGTCGGCCAAGCGGCCGGCCTCGCAGCGCTTCCGCCGGCCGTTCGGCTGCGCCGTGGTCAACGTCAACGACGTGCTGGCCAACCGGCAGCCGGAGGCGGCCGAGCGCGAGCTGACGGTGCGCCTGCAGCAGACGGAGGAGCGCGACTTCTTCCAGCTGCACGAGCTGGTCATCCGACAGGCCAGCAAGTGCAGCGTCATCTCCGGCCAGGGCAACTACGGTGAGAGGCCGGACGGGCGGGCGGCGGATGCGCGTCTGGCGCGTCTGGCGAGGGCAGTGGGAGCGCCCCTGCCGGGCAGAAGCTCGCCGGGTGGTGCACAGCGCAGGGACTGGCCGAGGCGACCCGCGTCACAGCCGGGAGGAGCTGTGCATGGCGGGGCCCACCGTCTGGCAGCGCTCGCCTGGCGGGCGGCGAGGGATGGCCCTATCTTGCCAGCGTCATGCATTATGCACTGCGCGGTTGCGAGGGTGTGTCGCAAACGGCATTGGAGCCGAGCCGCAACACGAACCGGTTTGCGATCATTTTTGCGCGCACGCGCGAGTGGCGCTCGCCTCCACATGTCCCCCGCAGACGCGCTCCCGACAGCCGTGCTGACCTGTTGCGCCCGCGTGCCAGCAGGTGTGCTGCTGTCGCTGCGCCTGCTGCACGGCAGCCTGGCGCAGCTGCGCCGCGACATGCCGCTCCTGCTCAAGCACGCCGTCGTCACGCGCAAGCTCGGCTTCCCTGACGTCATCATGCCGGGCGACGTCAGGTGGGTGGCGTCGCCGCGCGGAGCCGTGGATGGAAGTGCCGTCGGTCCGGGTCAGCCAGGTCTCAGTCAGCTGATGTCCTGCCAGCGGTCTGGTCTACCGCAAGCGTCGGCCTCGGACGCCGCTCGAACAGCATAATGTGCGCGCAGCGAACTTCAGCGTAGGCTAGCCGTCGCTGGTAGCCGGCGTGTGTGTGGCACTCCTTGTACGGAGGCGGAGGCGTGACCGTTAATCGTTCTGTGTTCTGTGTCCGTCGCTGAGGCCGCATGGCTCAGCACCGCGCTGAGCTCCAGGCTGCTGTTTGTGAGGTCTTTAGTGCAGCCGAAGCCGACCCTCCACGCCTCAGCTGTGCGGTCCGGCAGCCGGGCACCGGCGTCGCGCCGTCAGGGTGTCTGACTCCCGGCCGGCACCCAGCTCAGGCTCTCGCCTCTGTGAACCGTACCCTGGCTGTCCGTGCCGCCCGCGCCCGCCGGGAAGCCGTGGTAGTGTGCCCATGGTATGGCCCGGTCGGCGACGGTGGCCACGCGACCGTCGGCGCCCGGCCGGCGCCTTCGCTGACATCGTCGGGGCGCCGCCGCCGCCGCCGCAGGCTCGGGCCGCTGGTGGCGTGTGTACCGCACTGCGCGGCGGCGGACGACAGGGGTGCCAATTCCAGCCGAAACACGCTATCGGCCAGGAATGGGCCGCGCGCGACACGGGGCGCCCCCCCCCCCCCCTCCCTCTGGGCACATCAATGGGACGGCTGCGCACGCGATAGTGTCACTGCGTCGGGCGACCTGGCTGTCATGCGGCGGCTCCCCGACAGCCGGGGAGCGGTGGCGGCCAGCGGCGGGCACCAGGACCCCGCTGGAGGTCAGGTCTGGATCCTAGCACCTCTCCTCACTCAGTCCGTCGTCTCTCGAAGCACGGAGACCGTTTGTATGTCAGGCGTGTTTTGAAAGTCATAACAGAAGCGTGCAATGTGCCACTTGAAGCCAGTCAAACAATTGGATTATGGACTTCTGAGTGGTTGTGACTCATTGTTGCATTCTTGTAATTGGTTATCGACCCACCAGTTAATTGAATTGCAGCCGGCGCTTTCTGGTGAGGATGGAAAAGATTGGCACGTGTCGACAAACATATCCCGTCCGATAAAACCAATACAGAGTAGTGACAAGCCTTCGGCTAATGCCCATCAATGGATTGGTGACTCAGTTGGATGTGGGAAAAGCCGAGGGGTTATCTCTGGGGCTGTTTTCATCGTCCGAGTGTAGCTGCTGACATGCTCTTAATAAGGGGCAACGGGCACACCAGTAATAGTGGACGAACTCAACTCATTCAGATTTCAGGTCTTTGGTTGCTTTGTAACTGAATCGTGTATTGATGTAAAGCGCATTGGATGCTATTTTGTATCTGACCATTGGACTGTCCATGACCCCCTCAGCTTGGAGGGTGCAGCCCGTGCTCCATGTGCCCCCCCCCCCCCTCCCCACACCCCACTCATCCCCTTGCTCCAGGCACCGTACCGCTCGATCCTGTGCTGCGTAAATGCCAACATGGCATGTCTCTGGCTTCTTGGCCTTTCCATCCCCCATTATGCATTTTTTAGGTACATATATAAGACAGTAGAAAAAGGCATATTCCTTGAATAATAACCAGGTGAATGGAGAGATCGATGGATTAATTCATTTTCCAATTCAATCCAATCGATCTATTACTTCGTTATCCTGGCTATTATACTAGGAATAAGGCTATTAGTGCTATTTTATCTGTGTGCATAATATTCCTCGCAAATGTACTTACCAATTTACGTACTTTTCAGGTTCATTATGAGTTTCAGACTGTATGCGCACAATTGCGACTTTGAATGCCTCACCGAAAAAGATATGTGAGACTCAAGTCGGGGAACGCGGGGGTTAGGTGTTAAGCTTCCTCGATGAAATAAGCCTTGGTCCAAACCTTCTCTGAGCCATTATCTTGTCTTTTTCATCGCATGTGCCGCAAACAAAATCTTGCTTAAGTCACCGGCACGAAATGTCTTCACCATAGGCTTTCTTCAAAGCCAGCCAGAGCTTGCAAGGGATCGCCAAGTACCGTTTAGTCATTGCGGCCGCGGTAGCCCCTCGGCTGCCGATGGTGCGCCATTCGGTGCTCTGCTTGCTGTGTGCTGTTGCGGCGCTCTGCTTGCTGTGTGCTGTCGCGCAGGACCCTCGGTAGGCCGAACCCAGTAGTTTTGACTGTGGACTACCATCCAATTGAAGACGCGCATCATCGTCAGATGTGGTTGATTAACGAAAGGTTAGATTTCCACGGTCGAAGGAACGAAGCAGTGTTATACATGCGCTGGCTGTAATCGGTTAGCGAGAGCTTCTGATGTGAGCTTATTTTGTGTGGGACCAGACTGAGCTCTTGTTTTGCCGGCCGCAACATTCCGGTCTCGCCACAGTCTGTTCCTGTCCGTAGCCATGTATGGATTTGTAGGGGCTCCCCAGCAAGACCTTTTTTGCTTCCGAAATCTGGGTCGGGCTTCTTTTGGCTCGCTACCGTTAGCTGACTTACCAGTCTGACGGTCAAGACTGCGCTTAGCAATAAACTTGTGAACATAATGCGAAATCGCGTTCCTTGACAGTGCTTGTGCTTTAAAGCACTGCCAGACTTTGCTTTAAACTGCCGTTCAAACCCCTCAGAATGGCATTTTCCCGACTTTTCCAAGATCCAGGATTTCCGAGATGACTCCTCCAAGCAGCATGTTATTATCTTTACTTCCCCGCCGATTGTGCCCGCTAGCATGGCCTCCCGAGGACGGTGTAAACAGGAAACAACTTAAGACTAAAATAGCTCTCAGGCAAGCCCCGAGGTTTATGTTGTATTCTTTGGTGAGGGTCGCTATGACGGGAGGAAATCTGTCCGGTTTTCTGCGAATTCCGGGTTTGCTATTTTTATCATTGGATTATCCGACATCGCACCCAGAGGCTCTGGAATCTCAAACCCGACACCATTCCTGTTCAAGCTGACGCCGTTGTTGAATCTCATGACAACCACACAAAGACTCCGTGCGCGATGCTTGGAATTCTCCGCCCCGCGTGAGGCAGGTTTCTTATCGCGTACAACTGGTTTCACTCGGTCGAAACTTCGTCCTTGAAGACACGTTTTCCCTGAACTCCTATCGGAGGTCCGGTACAAATAACATGGCTGCCGACGCTACACCACGTCAGTATTCGATAAAGTACGGTGCTGATGTTGTATGGTGCAGGCGCAAAACGCCTCATGAGTGTTCTGCAATTGGCGCTGTTTCGGTGCTGGATGGGGCTGCTCCACGCCGCGGGGACGGCTGACGTGCCCTGAACGCTCTGGTGCGGCGCTGCTTTCAGGAATGACCTCTACCTGACCTTGGAGCGGGGCGAGTTCGAGCGCGGAGGCAAGTCCACTGGCAAAAACATCGAGGTGTGCGTCATGGTGGTGCGGGACGAAGGCCGCGTTCTGGAGGTGAGGTGGCCACACGGGGTCCGTGTCCTGAGGTCTGGACTCACTGCCCGCGGGAGGAAATGTTTGTCGGCCACTGTGCCACCAGTGTTGGCGGCGCTGTGCGAGTTGCGAGAAAGCTTGTGGGCCGATAGTCCAGGAGTCATGCGTTGCGTCTGCTGTATCTGTTTGGTCGTTTTGGCCCAACGTCATGGCAACGAACAGATTTCATAGCTCGTTTGCACGTAAATGCATGCCGGTGAAAGGAAATGAAAGCTACTGGCTAGGATTTTTACTGTGAGGAGCTGCTTGCTATTCTGATGCCTTGCTTTGCGAAACATATCCATTTATATCCACCGTGCTTTCCGCCGATCCTCTTGTGCTGCGCTTGCACAACTAGGTTTTTCTCCGTTGGTTTGCACGTCGCTTTCACCAGATGCCTCGTATGCCTTGTAACGCACCGCAAATATGATAACCGTCCATTGTCAACACTGTGCTGTCGTTCAGCCCGCAACTTCGCCGACGAGCATGACGGAATGTGCCGTCCACCGTCCTGCCGCTATCCGCAGAGAGATCACGAGTGACCTCATCCGCACATGGGATCACTCCGGCGGCATGGGCCGGGCACGCGGTGACACCGGTGGGGAAGTCCCCAAACATCTCCTGCGAGGCGACTGACCTCAGCCGTCCCGGTGGCATTTTGGGTTGACCCCGCGCGCTGGCAGGGCCTTGGCCGTGCGTCGGCGTCTGCGGACGCCGCGCGTGTGACCTGAGGTCGGCGACCGACTGACGGCGCTGCCCGGCCCCGCAGGACTGTATCGTGTCGGCGGGCGGCCAGAGCGGCTGTCGCTACTACAACTCCATCATCTTGTACCACAACAACGCGCCGCGCTGGGGCGACACCATCAAGCTGGCCGTGCCTATCGACTCGTTCAATGGCTCGCACCTGCGTCTGGAGTTCAGCCACTGCTCCAGCAGTGAGTATGGATCGTGCAGCCACTGCTCCGGCAGTGAGGACGGACTGTGCAGCCACTGCTCCTGCAGTGAGTACGGATCGTGCAGTCACTACCAGAGCTGTGGGTTCATGTAGCTCAGTCGCTGCTCCAATAGTGAGTAATCCATCAGCGAGCGAGGTCAGCCATCCTTCAGACAATCCAGCATTCCGTGCTGAATGGATAGCTGCAGGTGTGACATTTCACAAACAGTATAATGTATCTATTCATGCAACGTAACATGTTTTGATTACTTCGTCTTACTAAACGTTTTATACCAACGTCTCCCTGGTTACTCCGCATGGAACCCTTGACGCCTTGAGAACATGTCCAGGTCCTGGGAGCGTAAAACGATTGCGATCGCTCAATGAGATCGGTGCCGTGTTACGTTTACCAAATCACGACCGAAAGATCACATCACCCAGCACATTAGCGCGATGTTACGTAGCGGCCATTGTTACAGGGACATGGTTATAAAGGGACATGAAGTTAGAAGGGCTCTCTCTGTCTGCACCCACCAGGCCCTGACTTCGCGAACGTAAAGAATTCCCTGCTCCACATGACCCCGCGCCACTGATTGTGATGTCTCGCACGGAACGCAGTCGTCGCTCACGTGGCCTGGGAGACATTGCGGTATCGGCCTAATTGACACGGGCGCCGCGCCTCGACCAGCATTAGCGCCGCGTCCCGCCTGACATTGGCCGCGTGTCGTCGGCGCGCGTCCTTCGTGCGCCGGCCGCCGTCCGGCCGGCCGGAGCCTTGGCCGAGATCGGCCGCTGGCGCCGGGCTCGCACCTGGCGGTCAGCTGCCGGACGGCCGCGGGCGGCGGGCGCCGGACGGCCCGGCCGGCTGGCGCGGTTACCACACCCCGGCCTGCCGCTGGAGCCGGCCGCGCGCGCCGTCCGGGAGCGGCCGGCTCCGGCGGCGGCCATCAGCACGCCGTGTGTTACGAGACGGCGGCGGATCGGCAGGATAATCGACGGAAATACCGGTGTGGAAATGGTGATGATGCTCGATTATGGTCACGTGATGCTAAGCGAGGGTCCACTTGCAGCTGGTCTGGAGATGATGAGCCCTTCTCTCTCCCGACGTGTGACAGCTGTGTGCAATGTCAGCCGGTGTTTTGCCGTTTTCATCGACACGGTCGCCGTCTCGCCTGCTCGTTTTTGTCGCGCTGGGATTCGTTAAGCTTGCAGCGAATGTCTCGCTTGGCCGTCGGCGTGACACGATGCTGACGGTGATGATGATGGTGATGATGACGGCGCAGCGCGTGTTTCAGCCAAGGAGCGGGGCGAGAAGAAGATGTTCGGGTTCGCTTTCTCCCGACTGATGGACGAGGAGGGCGCGACCGTGGCCGATGGGTCGCACGAGCTCTGCGTCTACAAATGCGAAGACAGACACAAGCTGCTGGTACGCACGCAATTAGGCTGGATCTGTTGGCGAGAGGAGGAGGGGGGGGGGGGGGACAGGCGTTAAGATGTTCTAGTTTACGGCTGTCTCCGGTGAAAAGACGATCATAAAAAATGATCGATAAATCGCGGATGTCATTAGGGTTGAGTGGAGTATGAAAGCCAGGAGCAATCTTGGACTTTTGTTGCCTTTGTCTTTATAATTGGGTGATAAATTTACGTCAGGGAAATGTCCCACCATGCGCCGGTTTACCAACGCGATGTGCGTGTCGTTTCCTTTCGTTATCATTTTTGTGAGAATAGTTTTTCCTCGGCTGCCTTTTGAATGAAAGTGTTCCGTAAACCTCTTGCGTAATCACTTCTTGCACTGACCCATATTCGAAATCTGCTTCGCTGGTCATTACTGAGCAGTGATTGACGTACCCACCCTGTGCGCACTCATCTGTCGCACGTTTTGCCACCGGCCGGTTCCCTCGGCAGCCCAAGGACGTGGTGTAGTCAGGATCGTCTGCGTGCCGCAGTCGCGTAAACAATCGCCAGCCTTGAGAAGCGTGCCTCACCCGACCCGCCGAGGCTTTGTCCACAACCGAGTGTGTCACATCTGGCCCTCTGTACACATGCACGCGGTGGCGCAGGTGACGCAAGCCCATGGTGTTGGCACGCGCGTGACCCCAACCCGGGGCTGCCGTCGGCGCGGGCGACGCCCCGCCGCCGCCCTGGTTACCCAGACCCGTCGGCCGGCCGTCAGTGGGTTGACGCGTGGAAGGCTCGAAGGTCACCGCCCCGCTGCGGTGCCCGCCTGACGCGCCCCTCCTCCCTCCCCGCGGCGGGCTCCGCTCCCCAGCCAGCGCAGGTCACAGGCGGCGGCCCGCTGATGGGTCAGGTCCGCCGTCCGGGCGGCAGCGGGACGGTGCTGGGGTCGCCCCGGTCCGCCGCGCGCCGCCGGTGCGCTCCGCCGCTGGCGCCGGGCGACGGCCTGCGGCCGCTGGCGCCGGCCGCCCGGCGGCGGTGCGCGCCTGGCGTGGCGGCGGCCGCTGGCGGCGGCCGCTGGCGGCGGTGCGCGCCTGGCGTGTATCGCCATGTGATCTGGAGCCGTACTCTGTTGCGTCAGCGGCCAATTAGAAGATAATGAGCGGTGTGGCGGCGGCACAAACCCCTGTGCCGGTGGCTGGCTCTCTCCTACCCGTTTTGTTTCATGGTGCTTGTCTCGGCCGTTCTGGTCACGCCGGTGCGTTTTTATTCGCGAGGAGTGCTGTGTTGCCTCTGGTCGGTGTCGGCGTGTGTGGTAATGTCGATTTCGCTCCCGCTCCCTCTCCCCTCCGGCCCATCTGCCGTAACGTCCAGCCCCGCCGTGACGTGCGCGTCCCCCCGTGGCGTCCATCCCCGCCGTGACGTCGATCCCCGCCGTGACGTCCATCCCCCCCGTGACGTCCATCCCCGCCGTGACGTCCATCCCCGCCGTGACGTCCATCCCTGCCGTGACGTCCATCCCCGCCGTGACGTCCACCCCCGCCGTGACGTCCACCCCCGCCGTGACGTCCATCCCCGCCGTGACGTCCATCCCTGCCGTGACGTCCATCCCCGCCGTGACGTCCCCACTCTCTGTCTGGCAGAACCCGGCCTCGTACCTCGGCCTGCCCTGGCACTCCGGCATGGTGCAGGGCGCGGTGGGCGGTAACCAGCACTTCGGCCGCACCGGCCGTGAGGCCGTCTGGGTGCACACGCTGCTCTGCTCCACCAAGCTGACGCAGAACAGTGAGTGCGACGGAGCGACGGCAGAGATGGGGTGCGGCCGCACCGGCCGGCCCGTCGGCGGTGCAGGGTGCCCTTTGCCGGAGGTGTGGGCCGTCCGCACAGGCGGCTGGGCTGTGTGTTGTGAGTGGTGCGCGTCGAGAGGCCGAAAGCAAGCCTTCTGTCGTCACACGTGGTCTGTTATCCCGCACATTTGCGCTCACGTTGATCTAGAGCCCCTTTTTCATGCAGGCAATATTGCTAGGCCCCGTTAAAGTGACTTGTGGTTCTGACTTTAACACGCTTGCGCGCTGTCGATTGCTGGGTGATTCAGACTTTTACACGCTTTGCAGTGCTGTCGATTGCTGGCCCAACCGTGCACGAAACGGCTCCTTTCAGTCGGCCTGCTGTCATTACTGAAGTGGAAGCAAAACCCGGATCGCATTGTGGAGACGCTGACGCGCATGATGAAGCGGAGGGAGAAAAGAATCGTGAAGTTTCTGCAGGACGCTGCTGGACGCTCTGTTCCATGTTTTCTACCGAGGACGGGCCAACTTAAACGCAGCAATTCTGTCCTCCGTGTTCCAATTCCTGGTCGACGGCTTAGCTAATCGCTCGACGGAGGGGCCAGCTTATTGCGCTTCACTTCCCCACTACACGTGTCTTAATTACGACGGACTGTCATTTTCGAGTGCGATGGTAGGACATCGCCGGCTGGGGTAGGATGCTGACCAATCAATGGCTTATGAGAAGGCGGCATTACGTGTGGCCATAATTGCAATTCCCAAAGGCCGCAGTCGTCTCTTTTAAAATCGGAATTATCTTCGGACGTATGGCAGAATCCTGTGAAATATCGCTCGTAAAATCGGTGCATTAAATCAGGTTTAATCGGCATTACTCGTCCTAAAATAAAGTGAACTGGCTGCCACTCAGTCTTGAGACGGTGGTTGGTTGCGGTCCAGTCCCACACCGTCACATGTTTTGTATTTTGTTCGTCAGGTGAGCATCTTCAGCCACCTGCAGGACAGCAAGTTCGAGCACTTCCGCCCCGTGGTGGACGCCTATGTGAACGGTCACTTCGCCGCCGCCCTGGTGTACAAGTAAGCAAGCGAGCGAGCGCGCCGCCCAGCCCCGGCGCTGACCTGGCGGCGTTTAGTGACGCCCGATGGTGTGCAGGATGAGAGCGATGACGGCTCTGCGGGCGCGCACCAGAGGGGATGGATTTAGGCCTGGGATGCGACTTGAGCTAGTGTAGCAAACCGCAGCAAACAGCAAACTTCGCTACAGCCGCCGCATGCCTTGATAACTTCCATATTTTTGAAACACGGCTTACCCGGAAACAGTCGCTAATCGCAACGCGTTCAAATATTTTCGGCGGGGTTTTTGGTGAACCATTGCCATGCCAGTATTCTACCTTCACGGCATGTGTGCCGTATTTCACGGCGAAAGGTTAAAATCAGCTCGGGCTGGCTTACCGACTGCAAGCACGAGCTGACTTACAATTGGTAATGTGACAGCGGACGGTACAATAATGGAGTGATATGTAGAGAACGACTTCGTTTCGAGGTTTACCTGACTGGTCATGCGCATTTTCGTCCAACGTTTGTTTTTTCTTTCTCTCATTATCGTGCCACTCCCCCGACTGGCCCGCGTCTCCTGTTGCAGGGGTCTGATCAGCTGTGCTGTGCCACTCCTCTGACTGGTCCGCGTCTCCTTTTGCAGGGGTCTGATCAGCTGCGTGCGTCACTACGCAGAACAGGTGTCCGTGGCCGAGAAGCAGGAGCCGCTGGTCAAGTGTTTCCGCAGCCTCGAGTTCATCTTCCGCTTCGTCATCCAGTCACGCGTGCTGTTCGCGCAGCAGAGCGGCGGCCAGAACGAAGAGAGCTTCAAGATGGACCTGTACAGTCTGTTCAACGCCTTCAACAAGATGCTGTCCACCAC